AAATGGAATTACTGAAATAAATCTACTTTTTCATGATATTCTAATTTTATGACCAGCACCTGTATATAAATTTTGTGAGTCCTCAGTGACGTGGTCTTCTCTGGTGGTTTGATGTCAGGACACTTTCTGCAGCCACACAAAGGTCAGGTTCTCAGCAGATTCATCTGTTAAACGTGTTGCTTCATGCAGACACAAGAGAACGGTTGGTTCTTTCAGCACAACATAAATTCAGCCACACTTCAGGACTGACTTTAAATAATGTTGTTGCTGTTCGTTCAGATACTTCTGCTCAATGGTGTTTGTGTTTCTAGGAATCATTTGTTCACACCTGAAAGCAAACAGAAACATACGTGTGTTATGGTGCTGACAAGTCTGCACTGTTGTAATTTACTGTTGCAGAGTCCTTGATAAATATCTGAAATACAATGTCCTTTTAAAACTGGAGGTTTAATGATTTGCTTTTGCACAACACATTTTTGTTAGCTTCACTTACTACTTATGTTTTTTAAATAAAATAAATGTTTCAGGAGTAAGGCTTCATGTTTGCAAAGTAGCTTCATCATCTTCATGTTGCATCTGAAACACTGAGATAATTTTACTGCCCTTTAAGGAGGACTTCTTGATATCAGATGTGCAGCTTTAGCTGAGATTAGCTCCTTTTCTGATGAAGTACAAAACAAAGATATCAAAATAAGGATGTGTGTTTGTGTGTAACCTGTTAGTCTGTCGTAGGATGATGTGGGAGCATCATGACCATCTGTTTCCTACTGATCTACACCAGTTAAAAGGCTTCTGAGTGCTTAAAGGTGGGATGAACCTCTGGGTTTCAGTCAGACTCTGATCTCAGTGAAAATCTAAACCAAGCTGTGATATTCTCACTCTCACTGTCAGGACATCCTTTTAGTTCTGGCTGTCAGACGTGTATTTACAGCTGCAGGTGACGATGAAAAGCACTTTTTAAAAAAAAAAACTTGAATGAAAAGTATTACATATTAATATATTAATATTTACAGCTAACTTGTTCATAATTTCTATAAGCCGATTCAAATTTCCTGATTGAAGATGCTGCAGCTGTCTAATCCCCAAACAAACCATCAGTTTTACTGTTTCCTTTGTTTAAATCTCAGAAGTGTTTCACACACCTTTCACACGCTGAAAGCAAAGTAAGCACAGAAACACTTTAATGTCACTTGGCTTTTATTCACATTTCATATCAGTCGACATCTCAGCTGCAGCGTCTGCCGACTCCACTCTTCTCCTAGAACGGACATTTTCTCATCATCCTAAGAAAAACAGGAGGTAAGACCATCGCTAATAATAATAATAATAATCATAATAATAATAATAATAACAAAAGCAGCATTGAAGAAATGTGATTTCTCTCTCCCTTCATCATCAGCATCTTTTTTATTAAATTGACCTGAATGTAACCGTCAGTGTAATTAAACAAACACACAACTAGCTCATGATAAATAAGCATCTCACCATCATCGGACTCAGAAATAATTTTTCAGAACAAAAAATACAAACAGACGTTAAAAAAAAAACAACAACAAAAAGAAAGTGACTCAAGCCATTTTAAGGAAGTAAAACATGATTGGTCTTCAGGGACATTTTGTGCGTTGGTCATATGTGTCCTGATCAGACCACACATTGTCTCTGCTGTCCTCCTACATCCAGCTCCAGTCTTCCTCACAGATCCAGCAGGGCTGAAGCTGCTGTGTGACTCTGATGAGGGAACAGACACACCGTTTTGCTACTGATGACGCTGACGTGGTGAGGCCCCCTGCGGCTCAGAGCCAAAAGCTTTGGTTGCGATCCGACATCATCGTTAGTGTCGTGTGAGGAATGGATGCCGGCGCAGTGAAGCACACGCTTACACTAAAGAACTGAGACAAAAATCAACACAAAAAGGGCGGCGGGTCTGTGCCGTCTGCTCTGAAGCCCTTTTCAGACACTTTTCTAACATCTTCCTGAAACGTTCATGAGCGGCTCCATCCTGACTGCTGCAAGATCTGCCAACACTTTGTGGGCTGCTGCTTAGTTATTGTCACTTTAACACAACTACACCCACATTGTTCTGCTGAAGCTGATTAGCATTTTGTCCAAACTGTTCAGTTGTTGTTACACAACGATTCCAAGCCATTTCCCAGTCAAGACATTAAAATCAGTTCAATATGCAATATTTCAAACCTTTTTTATTTTAAGTTGTCCTTACATTTAATAAATATTAAAGTAAAACCTTAAAAGCTCATTAAAATGGGTATTGACTCAAATAATCTGTAATCCATGTGTTAGATCTGATCAAACACTGTCTCTGTTCAATTAAAAATACAAAAATAAGAGTCTGCTTTTTGTGGTTTATTTCAAACCCTTTTGTTTTGCTTCATTTAAAAGCTCACTGCAGCATCACGTGCTAAATTCAATGCATGCCTTATAAAATATGAACGTCTCGAGCATGAATATTAAACTAACAGTATCTGAACGGACATGTCTGAAAAGGGCTGAGCTCTCACTTAAGTTAACTGATGTTCTGTACAAACACCCTGCAGCCATGTTTTTCATCTTCTCTACATGCGGTCAGAGCTTAATTGGGTCTGGAGGTTTAAAAAACAACAAACATTTGTGCTAAAACCTTGTTGAACATGTGGACTCTGCAGCCAGCTGACCTGTGTCGGTGTAGACGCTGAACACAGCAGCTGGAATGAAATGGTCGGTGACTGTATGTCAGAAAGGCCTCCTTGGATGTGATTGGTGTGCTTACTCTATGCTGTTTTTTTCCCACCACTAGGTGGCGGTGGTTGCTAACTGCTGATACTTCCACCGCTCACTGAGCCATCAGAGGATGGACTTCAGTCTGGATGAGAGAGACACTCGTGATGCTGTCATCAATAATTTACTTCAAGTCTAAAATAAAAAAGCAGCCTGAAATAATAGAAAAAAAAGAAGCTGGTGTGGTCCAGTTCTTCGTCTGAGTTCATCCGCCGTTGTCCTGTTTGTCCGTTAGAGTCAGGCTCCAGTGTGGACATCATTCAATCCTCGTCCAGCTGTAGCCTCGCAGCTGGTCTGGTCTGCACGTCCGTCACTGATACTGGAGGTAATTTTTGAGGGACTGGGGCAGAGGGAGCCTCTCGATCTCCTGCAGCCGGTCTCGACCTAACGCCATGCGGGCCGCGCGCCGACACAGGTCCATCAGAGGCAGAGGCTCAGCTAAGGAAAGACAAGAACGCAAAGTTTAGGGAAAGTTATCTGCATTTTGTTTGTTTGTTTGTTTTGTTTTTTGCATAACCTTAATTTAAAAAAGGGACAATATACAGTATGCATTAGCCATAGAAGGAAAAATGCACTGTATCAGGTTAAAGCTCTGGGTGCTAGTTTCCACCTGTAGTCCCTGACCCAGCCCACACAATATTATAAAATATTATAAAATATATACAGCAGGTAAAATAAGTATTAAACACGTCTACATTTTTTCTCAGTAAATATATTACTAGAGGTGCTAATGACATGAAATTTTCACCAGATGTCGGTAACAACCCAAGTGATCCATACATACAAATAGGTTGAGGTGCAGAATGAACCTAAATCCGGTTGGAGGATGAGATTTAAATAAAAAGATTTATTTAAACAAACAAAAC